ACGACTCTCTTCACCTTGTACACCGAGTGGTTCGCTTTTTTCTTATTCTCAACTCTTTTATCAATCCTCTCCTTTACGCAGCGCAAAGTTCTAACTACAGACAAGGACTGAGGAGAATTAGCCGACGCTTTTTAAAAACACGTTCAAACAGAGTGGCAGAAAATAATCAAGAACATTTAGAACTCGGCGAATAGAAGAAATTTCTTGCACTTGTAGAAGTAACCTGAGTTTAGAGTTTTTTGGTAAATTTATGTTGCTTTAGTAGTGAAAACCATCGCAAAGATATGGAAGCTCAATATTGCTATCTTTCGCCCCCAATTTCTTCAATTAACATTGAAAAAGACTATGAAATCTGAGGATATGCATTGGTGAAGGGAACAAGGAAGATCAATTTTTCTCTCTCGAGGAAGTTGTTCGAAAATACACAAATGTGAAAGCTGATTTTCCTTTCATCTTAACGTCATTGTGATAGTCATGGCAACTAAAGGAACCCGAGATTGCTGAAATGACACTTTATTTGACTTATGAGAACAAGGAAATTATACATAGAAGATTCAAATCTATCAATCGATTATTCACTCAAGGGTAAGTGCAAGTGACGCTGTGGATTTGCAGGTGAATTTTCCAGAATATGGTGATTGGCAGGTGAATATTCAGTACGCACTGAGGCCTTCAGACTCAGAGGTTTGACAGAATATTTGACGACCTCCGCCCGGCGATATTAGATTGCAGTCTATCTAAGTCGACTGTGGATGATCTAAAGACGATTCTCGAGTGAAAATGTAAACTACTTTGTTTTTTATTTATTTGTTTTTTTTTTTAGTAGATAACACTTCAGAACTGAATCATGAATATTCCGATGGCATATTTTGGAGCACTTTATGCTTTCCGCAGCGTTAGCGCCAAGCCATTCAGATCGGCATGATAGGTTTCAATCTATCTGGAGCACCTATTCCATTCAGATATTCGAGGTGTCTGATTCCGTTTAGAAAAGCGTGTTTATTTAATTTTTTTAAGGTTCAGCTATTGTTTGAAGATCATAAATCCAACGTTACCTTTGAATTTGCTTAAGATTGGTATGGTGAACCGCACTAAAGAATTTTACATGAGCAGGAGTCGAAGAAGTTAGTAGGAGAGAGATAAGAAATTTGCGAAACGATAAATCTAAAGCAATCATGTGCTGCTTTCGACATTCATTTCAAAGTGAATATGAGATTGCAACAATACTGTCTATTCACATGGAAGCATCCTGCAGAAGTGTTTTGTTCAGGAAAGGCAAAACAAGACTACTTACAGGTTCCAATGTGACAACTCAGTTCAGCCCAATGTTTGGCAGAAAAATGTCAAATCATCCTCTTTCGCTTCGTACCAAGAAGTTTGTTTTTCAAGTCAAGTTTCGATTAATAGCCCATTTCCGAATTACCCTTGGCCTCATTTTCAAAACGAGTCGTGGTGCTCATCCTTTCATATGATAATAAGTTTTCATTTACATGCAAATAAAACTCATTTTCACAAGAATGGTTGAGCACCAGGCCTCGTTTTGAAAAAGAGGTCAAGGGTAATTCGGAAATGGGCTATCGAGTTTGGAACTAATTCAAAATTGATTTTTTTTTTTCCCCTTTGCTGTGCCTTGCTACTGGCTTTCGAAACCCCCATTCCCTTACCTACACACTTCATTTAGTGGAAGATTTAATATCAAACCAAATTTGAATTAAAGCACGTACAAATGAGTGGCTTTTAAAATTTTAAAGATTAGAAGAACAAATATAAAAACAATTAAAATTAAAAGGTAGAAATAAAGCGAAAAAGTAATAGCAACCTTAAGGTATATTTCAGAAGTTTTTAGGATCGTAAGTATGAAATTGTTTTTGTTTCAGTCTTATTCCCCGAGTTAATTTGCATTTAAAAACCAAAATGCAAGACCAAAACTTAGAGCGACTTCGTCATTACTCATTTTTCATTTTCTAAGCTCAAAGCCCAGTCACGTACACTCAGTTTTAGTTTTCATTGCTCACTTTTGGTACTACCCTTATCCTGATAGGCTAATATATATTTTCGGTGGTTTCACGATACCTCTTCTAAATAGTGGTATCTTTTAATCCACAGAAATAAGAACCATTCGCAGATCATCTTTACGATAATTGGTTTCGTAATACCCACTGTGGGTCGATACCTATAAAGAGGCGCAAACTTAGCGGGAGTCGAGCGAAGTCATCAGGCGGAAGAAGCAAAACGCTGGTGGTATTTTTGCCTGCACATCGAATAAAAGAAAGCGGAATGACTGCCACACATAAAAGCGGTCAATAGGAGACGGCCCCCATAGGGAAATTTAGCTCGAAAGCTTATAGAAAGCAAAATCATCTTGGAGATTTAGTTATCTCAGTGATCGCAGATTAACGTTGATAACATAAGATGAAATAAATTCAACTCAGTAGTGTTAAGAATGATAACATGCTACAGTTAGCAAAGATTAGCGATTGTTGACCTGTCGACGAAAGCCAAAGAGTCCGTAGTTATATATATTAGTTGTTACAATTTAGCAAGCATCCAAAATTTCCGAGAATCTTCATCGGTATTGAATCTCTTCCAAGGGACGATTGTGCGTCCCCATAACTTGTCAACAGGTTGATGTCCAACTCTTCAGCATTCTTACGACTGGCAGTTTAATTCACTAAAACTTGACAAATCGACGGTGGTTTGACGTGGTCTGTACTCATGTTGACGACGATATTCTATCATCACAATGGTCAAAGTGTTGTGGATTCGCGAGGCGCAGCCGACTGGGTCCGCAGATTACGATAAACCACTTTCGATTTATTTTTTTATCACAACATCGAAGTAAAAAAAAAAAAAACCAACCGATTCTTTCTGTAAGTGACAGGTCGCGTGATACTTTGCCGCGAGCAGCGTTGTGTGTACTCTTATCGACAACGGCAAACTGGCCAATCAAATTGCGACATTACTGCCAATTATGGTAAAAATTATCATTTATATAGGTGATATTCTATTTTGGGTCCGATTGTAATCTCTTTGAATGTTTCTGCCGATTAGTGTCAAGGGTTTTTGAGAACACAGTCCTCTATTTCGTGATGATCCTACAAAAAAAAAAATAATTTAACCATTTTGTTCATAGTTGTCAGAGGTATTTTCAGGGGATTAGTGCTCTGACGAAGGGCTAACGCTCAAAATTTCAGCTTTTTAACTCTTTACGGTGGTCAATTTACAATTTCAGTTTAGTTGATAAAACCAAATTACAGAGGTATATTCAGTTCGCTTCAAAAACATCAGGTGTATCCTTGCGACTGAGTTCAAAATAAACCATATTCTTCAATATCCTCACAGAATGCCTTTGACCGATTGTTGATCTTAGCAATAAGAAGGTCCCTTTTCACATGTGGGCTTAGTCTATGACTCAACACACCCTAAACAGGTTACAGTTTGTAATTTCATGTTCCAGAACCTTTAATTATGAAGTCGAAACCGTTTAGCAAATAGGTTTCGAATCCCCTTTGGATTCCGTTTTCTTTCTCCGTCTTTCTTTCTGTTCGTCAAGCAAGAATAAAGTTGTTTTCTACTAAACACGCTCGTGACAAATGTGTCACTGACCTTTCTTTATTGTGCCCGTTATTTTACACGGCTGTTTCGTAATATATTCTATGTTTCTCCTCTCTGGCTCTGACTGCAGCATCGTTTGCTGTGTTACGTGTGTTGTTTTTGGGGCAAAGTTTCTGAAACAGAACTTCTCTGTAGTTTTTGCTTTGAGCAGCGTAAAGAAGGGGATTTACGAATGAGTTGGAAAATTTCAAAAAACGAACGATTCTGTGTGTCAGAAACAACGTTTTAAAGCTTTGCTCTAAATGGTTTGGGGCAAGTGTAGTGACATAGAAAAAGAAAACCGCAAATGGCAGACAGAGTGTGCAAAATGCCAAAGCTACCGAGATAAGAAGCTTTAAGAGTCTTTTCATATTCCGTTTGCTAGCGGGATCTTCATCCGGTTCACCTGCGCTTGACTTGAGCGCTGCAGAACTCGAAATATAGCAAAAACAAAGCAAGACTGAAGGCAGAACGATTAAAGCGACAGAATGACTAAGGATGTAAGCTTTGACGTTCAATTTCTGGTTCCTAACTGTCCAGGGACGCGTGCATGGATACCGCCATGGCGAAAGAACGTCTTCGTTATTTTTCTTGGTCCACAGCATATCGGGAAGGCTTGAAAAAGCAGCTGTCACCCAAATAACCACAATAATAAAGTTCACTTTCTTTTTCGTCAGCACCCAACGTTTGTTAAAAGGTTTAACAATACCGAGGTAGCGCTCCACCGCAATGGCACACAGAGTCAACACAGAGGCATCGAAAGAGACGCAAACGATTGCATTTCCTGCAATAAACTTGCAAAAGATGTCATCTAATGTCTCAGAGCCCAATCGAAAATTGTGTAATGAAAAGTCGTAGAAACCCGGACAAAATAATAACGTTAGGAAATCGGCTACAGCCAAGTTCATCAACAGATAGTTTGTTGTTGTGTGCATGGTTCGCGTTTTCCGTACAATAGATACGATTATGCCATTCGTTATGACGCCAAAAAACACAATAAACGAGTACAACGTACCAAAAACAATGTCATGAGTAGTAATGAGTAGAGAGGCGTTGATGTTGCTTTCGTTCATTCTGAAAATAAAACCTGCGTTAGCATCCTCTGATCAATTATCAATCTTAATCAAGCCATTGGAAATTTCGTCCAGCATGCACGTGTTTTAAATGTTTTTTAACCATACCTTGCGTTTAGTTCACCACAAAACCGGTATCATGCGGATTCTTTAGCAATTCCTGCAGCGGCATTTGATATGAATTGTGGTAAGGAAGCGGTTTGTCAACAAGTGAGTCGGAAAGTCTCTCGAACTCTTGATTATAAGAATACAGAATGGCGTGGTAGTTGTGCATTTTAATTTTTTTGGATGTCATTTATTCCATTCATACATTTCCACAGTCTCATTGGCTTTAATTTCCCACCGAATAATTGAACAATATCTTTTGACATGTAAGAGTCTCAGTATGGCGATGGTTTTCAGTTACGGTTAATGGCTAAAATTTTGGCCATTTTACGGTTTACGATTAGTTTCTTACCATTATTTTTAAAAAGGAGAATTTTAAGGGAAAAACGGCTATTTCTTTTTTGCAGTTAAATAATTATCAGTTAACCCCGCCGGGACCGTCATATTGAAGAAAAGATGATTGCTCACCATAGCACCGGTAAATCGCGATTAAAGTTCTCAAGAGTCATCGCAATATCATTAATCGACAAGTTCTTTTTAGTGAATAAACCACTAGCTGACAAATGAATTTTTTTCGGCACAGAGTTAAGTCGCTAGCTATGCTAATTTTGATCAGCATAAAAAATGATTATTTTTATTCACAATAAAAATGGCATTAATTTACTAGTAGCAAAGGTGGTACAGATCGGCTTAAACTGCGAATATTCGATGAATTCTTATCTCATACCGAAGACTTAGTAACTGATTTTTTTGTCATTTTTTCTACATTTTAAACTTTGGGAAGTCCCAATAGATGTGAAGTTACTTTATTTCACTTCTCTTCACAGAGACTGTTAGCAGGATTTTTAGCTGGATGACATGTATCCTAGAGGTCCATTCAGGGCAACCAGCCCTAGCCTTTCTTTTTAGCACGACACAAAACGGTGCAGTAGTAGAGTAGGAGGTGCAAAAACTAAGCAGAGTTGGGTCGAGTTGTGTATTTATTCTCCTCCTTGCGCAATCCGATCACCATCTTTCAGCAAGACCTTGTGCTGATAAAAGTATAGTTATGGCGAGGAAAATAGTGGAGTGGGAAAATTATTTTAACAGTCATGTTTAATAAGGCGTAGAGAAATTTTGTGTTCTGATAAGTATACTAGTCGAACGAATCAGACAAGAAATACGCTTCAGGCAGTCCCGCAGCAGGAGTCTGTAATACCTTTGAAATACCAGCGGACTTGTATTAGGCAAAACACGTAAAATGCAGCAAACTTCATCGTTCCTATCCTGCGCAATTCAGGTTATTTTTTCAGGCGAGATCAACTTAAATGTGGGGACTTTTGGTAAGAATTCGCCAAATTTTACCGCTTCAATCCACTTTTGCGCCTTTTGCTGGGGACAATTCTGCAAAATTCACGATCTTGAGAAATATAGCATTTCTGGGACCCGGCTATTTTATTTATTACACACATTAGAAGGCTCGTCAAATCCGTCACGAGTTACACTCATCTGTGAACACTGAGTTTGATAACAGTCTACTTAATTCTTGCTTTGCCTTGTTACAACAGCAAACTGATGATGTGAAAACTGATTTGATTATCTTCATATTTAACTGTTAAAAATCATTCGTGATTAACAACTTGGTAAAATAAAATGCCCTTCTCCGATAACACTGTGTAAATTCGTATTCATGAGGCAGCGCAGTAATGATCGTTCATAGGGGAATAATTAGGTAACATATTTTGCCTTATTTACCCAAATGTTTAGCTATGATAATTGTCAAGAATTAAAACTGGTGAGTAAGTGCAAATTCCCGGAGGTGACCACCAACCAGGAGGAAAAGCGTTACAGAAGCTTGACTTTGGTTGCTTAATCACCAGAGTTTCGATTGTAATTTTCCCAAAGGATAATTGTTCTCTTTCACTCAACTTGACATTTATTACGAAATGTTCTTTGCTGTGTAATGTTGCCAGTGTGCTCCTCGATGCTGTACACCTATTAGTGATGCTTTGTGTAGAATTTGTTACCTAAAAATTGCGGCAAATCAGCCTGGAGCTAAAATTAATTTACATCCATCACGATAGTTCGAGCTTTGTAGCGCATACATAATAGGATTTAGGAAAGAATTAGAAAATAGCAGAAAGCGTGATGCTTTTTGAATCCAAGTCAATGTGCTGCAGTTTTTTTGGACCGTTTCATTATCCAAGGAAATAAGGAAGAGGAAATATATATGAAATGGCAGTGAACAGAAGGAAAAGGCAACAGCCAGCCAGATCAGAGGTCGACTGAGCTAGCTGCTTCTTTGTCTTTCTGTCTGCTTCTGTGTCTTTCTGTCTGCTTCTGTGTCCGATGACTTAGAGCAAATTGGGTTCGTAAAGTACAATCCGCGGATGATTTCAAAATAACAGATAAACAGTATCATAGAATTAACAAGGCCACAACAAACAACACTGAATGTAATGAAGGACTTGTGAAGGAAATACTCGTCTAAACTCCGAGGGCGTTTGCACGGATACGTGGAAGACGGGATGTTGTATGTAATGGCTTGAATATATGGGATACAGGATAGCAGGGCAAGCAACCACAGCACGGAAATCATATATTTTACTTGATCTTCGTACATCCTCGAGTTGACTTAAAAAGGCTTTAGAAGAGCCAAATACCGCTACACAGCAATCGTACAGACATTTAGGACGGCGACATTGATGGTGATTGGAACAACAGCATTTCCCACAAACAACTTACGGATCAAATCCCCCGTAATCCCTTTCAGCTGCAGGTTGACGTTAGATAAAGCAAAGTCATACTGCACATCCCAGGACACAGAATGAAAGTCAGGAGATCAGCCACAGCTAATTTCAAGAGAAGATAGTTTGTTGATGTGTGCGTTGAAAGCGTTCTTCGCACTATGGTTATCACGATAGCATCACTGACAACACCGAAAACAGCAATGAATGTGTAAAAAGTCGCTAAAAGAACGTCTTGTGCAGTGCCGGGTGCCAGCTGATGATTGTAGGTCCTTTTTGTTACCTCCCATTTCTCTCGTTTTCTTCTTTCTCGCTGTACTTTCGTGATACCAACCCGTTTGCTTACTTGCAATTGACAGATGTTTACTCTAAAGAAACTAATAAAACCAAAGAATGAGTCTAAACATTTTAAATGATAGTTTAAAATGAATAAAGCATTTCCTTTGTTTCACGAAACAAATGTGAGAACTTTGAATTGACGTTTGATAGTCACAGTGTCTTTTTTGATAGTTGGTTGTACGGTATTAGCTTCAGAGTTACGTTCCTGAGGGGGAGAAACTCTTAAAACAAATGTCATCTTGGCCGGCTCTGATAGGCACTGTTCTGAGGCATTCAAATTTCAGCGAAATTTTCCGTCACAAAAAAAAAAGGAAGATTTACACCAACACGTTGTCTATAAAAGATGCATTAAATGGTCATAGCAACTTATTTCTGAAATGGCATTTCAATTATCAAATTGCTCTACAGGAATATATTCGTGCCATTCAGTTTCAGTCTCGTGACAAAAATTGTCTTTGAACCGTTTATGGAAACGGCTGGTGAAAGCTGGCAGAAGTTGAACAATGAATGCGTTTAATTTGTAGGAACTGTTGGC